CAAGGTTAAAATACTAATAATTTTGCTCAGCATTCCTGAGTTATGCCTGCAATCTCTATGACACTGTGTGATACCATAAAAGCAATGATATGGTAGAAAAACTGTTACTTTCTCACGCAGCATCTGCAAACCATATTTAGCTCATATTTGTTCCTAACCCAATGGCTGTGTTTTGCATTGGAAAAACCTCCTCTCTCATTGTTGTAAACTGATTATCCAGTAGTACAATCGTGTTATCCCTACCAATTCTTAAGTCTTTCTTTGGTGGATTCCACACCCTGTTTTCATTTAAAATCCATTTGGGCTCCAGTGGAAGTCTTCTGCTTGCTACAGCCCAAAGGCAGTAAATGCAGAACCATCATGACCTGGACTGGAAGTCTTTTCCCTTTGGGTTACTCATAAAACTCCAAGAAACACACAACTTTCTGGTCTTCACAGATAAATGAATTTTAAAGAAGCCCATAAACCGTGGTCAGAAAACCCAGTGAACCTAGAATATCTGTGCCCAGACACCCAGTCTTGCTAGTAACAAACCAGGCAGCGTGGCATGGCTGTCAGCCTCTCTGCGTGGCACATTCACAATTAGCACACCACCTCCAGGGGTACCGAATATCATATCCTTTCCCGTAGCAGCCAGTGACCCTTTCTAAATGGGGTTGATTGGTGTTATTAGAAGATAACATCTGTGTGCTGCAACATATTGACATGAGGTGAGAGCCTTCCTTGGGCGGCAGCAGAATGCTTCAACATAATTCAGAGGAAGCTGTATCAGGCAGCAACTGAAGGCATGTATTGCAGTGCAGTCAAAAAGGTTGATCAACAAATGAAATTAAATCAAAACTTTTGCACTTTTTCTTTTACTTCCACACCAGAGACAGAAAGACTTACAGAAATTAGAAATATTGCAGTGTCATACCTGTCTAGCCATATTTGCAAGAGAGCCTTTTTTTTATTTCTGATGCCTGCTCATTAACCTTCACTGGAAGGGAAGGAAAACAAAGTGCAATAAAAGGACAACAAAACTTCTGCCAAACAGTTGGAAGAAAAAACCCAATCCATTTTCTGAAACAATTCTGAATTTCCCTCAATTCAGGGGACTGGATTTTTTGCTTTACAACAGTTTTGTACTATAAAAAGTCTTATCCTTCTTGCATTCACAGTGCCAGCAGATCAGAGTCTGGATGTTTCAAACATTATAAATGACAATGAAGCATATATTTCCTTTATTTTTAGACCAGTTTTGAAAACTCTCCAGGAAAATCTTATTGAGATTGTTAGCTACAGACTCTAGAACTCAGAGTCACTGTAAGGTACCAAAGAATTTTTCAGCCACCTTGAGGTGACCCTTTTTGTGTATGTATATATCTACGTGTATATGTAAATTACAAATATCATAGAATCATAGAAAGTATTGGGTTGGAAGGGACCTTTAAAGATCATCCAGTCCAAGGCCCCTGCAGTGAGCAGGGACAATGTTACCAGATCAGGTTGCTCAGAGGCCCATCAAGCCTGACCTTGAATATCTCCAGGGATGGGGCCTCCACCACCTCACTGGGCAACCTGTTCCAGTGATCTACCACCCTCATATTTAAAAACTTTTTCCTAATATCCAATCTGAATCTACCTTTTTCTAGTTTAAAACCACTAGCCCTCATCCTATGGCTACATGACCTAGTGAACAGCTCTTCCCCAGATTTCTTATAGGCACCTTTCAGGAAGTGGAAGGTCGCTATAAGGTCTCCCCGGAGCCTTCTCTTCTCCAGGCTGAACAGCCCCAACTCTCTCAGCCTATCTTCACAGAAGAGGTGCTCCAGCCCTTTGATCATCTTTGTGGCCCTCCTCTGCACCCACTCCAGCGCTTCAGTGTCCTTTTTGTATTGGGGACTCCAAAGCTGGACGCAGTACCGCAGGTGAGGTCTCAACAGAGCAGAGTAGAGGGGCAGAATCACCTCCCCTATACATGTGTGTATGCATGTGTATATGATCTGTTCATGTACAAAAATGGAGCTGCTGTGCCTACTGAATGACTCCTAATATATCAGCTGGATTTATTTTAACACTCTCTGGCAGATCTCCCAATTGCTGCATTACAGAAAAATAGTACTATGCATGTTCTGATCTATTAGGCTGGTGACTTTCATAGGCAGAAATGCCCATGTGTCTCATGAGAAACATGGAAAGAAATGTTTGTTCAATTTTTAGTGGGCCTTTGGAGCTCAGAGACCAGCAAAGATAATGCCAACTGATGCCTGTCTCGACTTAAGTTCATCTGAATTAAAGATGTACAATGTCTGATTTTTACCGCCAAAAGAACTGCCACAAAAATCACATTTTTTTCATGAGAAAATATAAAACATTCTGCAGTTCTGCCTCAGGCTTTTAGAAAGACACATACTTGAAAACCAGCTTTCTGGGTGAGTGAGGAACATTCTGCAGAAAAGCTTTCACTAAGGTGGGATGGGCTCTGAAAGTGCTTGAAAAAAGCACAGATACTGAAAAATACAGAGTTAAAACTGCAACTTCATCTTACTCACTGCAAGGGTACAGGGCTCTCAAATCAAGGTTGGCAGAAGTGAGACAGCCTGGATTCAGGAGCGACTGAAGAGGTCTGGGTTGTAGAGACCTTCTATACTTCAATCCTCTCTCCTAAACACACAGCCTGCTGACTGATTGTTCTTTCTGCAGGCTTACCAGGGGCTCTGTCCCCAGAATCTGTCTGTCCGTATTGAACCTATTTCCTTTAGTCCAGCAGAGCTCAAGAACCTTAACCAAAACTTTATCCAACCAGTGGATACCTCTGTCCTTGAAGGAATGTACCTAAAGTCAGACAGCACAAATAACAGCCCTAGAGTTGGCTTTTGGAATATTTTGGTCTCTTCTAGATCCAGCTCAACAGTGCTTTAATTCTTTTTTTAAATGCCCTCCAGATAAGCCCTTAATTTTAATGTAATCCAAGATCTTCAGACTTTCGCCTTCCACCTTTCAGCCAGGTGTTTAAGCATGACATTAATTAAAAAGAAGTTTTTGGTGTGTCCCTTTTGTGACCTAACATGGAAGGGAATGCAAGAGGTACTGCATTTTTGTGATTATACTTTAAAAGATTACTTATATACACATTTAAGGTCTAATTCTAGCAACTTGCAGAAATTCTAGGGGAATTCTTATATACTAAACCAGACAGCATGATAAAGAGATAGCACAATTAAACCTGAAGTACCCCACACCACCCAAATGCAGTTAAAGCAAAAATGGGCTACGCATAAAAAGAGAAAACAAACAAACAAATTGCTTAAGCAGCCTGTGAGTTGCATTAAACAAAGTTGCTATTGCTAGGAATGCATTAACTCTGCCACATCACAGGAACTGTGCATTCCAAAACAAAATCAAAATCCACCTTGCATCGTAGTGCAAAGGCGGCCAGCTCCGGGCCCTGGGGAAACACACTGCAAAGCAGGAGGCCTCTGCAGAGAAAGACCTTTCACTGATGCTGGACAGTTCATTCTGTGGAGTGTCCCCAGGTGACTTCTAACTGCTATGGTGATGGACAGGCTGAAAGGCAGTATCTCTGATAGTAAAAAAAAACCCCACAAAAAACCCCAAACAACAACAACAAAAACCCAAAAAAACCCAAACCCAAACCAATCAAACAAAACCCCAAAAACCCAAACTAACAAACAAAAAACACCAAGAAAAGAGAGCAACTACATAAAGGCTGCTGAGGTTGCTGATGCAAATATTCAAAAAATGTAATTAACAGTAGCAATTTGTTTGGAATGGATATCAAATGCAAGTTTCAGAGATGAAGTCAATGCCTAGATGAGGAAGAAACCATGAGAAGATGTTGCAATTGCATAGGTTCACCCCTGTCTGCCTACTGTATACTTAGTCCTCCAGAGCATTTGGAAATGTAGCGACTCCTGTCAGGAAACAGTCTGTTCTCACATTTTTATGCCTCCCACTAAAGCTGATCTGGGATCTCAGGAGAAGAGATATATCATCTATAGTGAAAAACATTGCAATAATCTAGCTCACTAGAAGAGCAACTACTTAGAATAATGTTAACTTGGTTTGTGCTTGAGAAAGACTGAAATGTAGATATTCTGGCCCAGGGTGTGGGATGGGAGGAGACGGGAAAAGTCTTACCGCACACATACATGCTTTCAGTACAAAGCTCCCTGATGGAGAACTGCAGGGAGCAGAACTACAGAAATTTCAGGATCCAGACTTTCTGTTCACTGGCAAACATTGCTCCTAAAAAATTGGTACCTAAACAAATGCTAGAGAAGAGTTTAGATTCTTTGCTTCTTTCAGATAAATGGAACCTTGTTAATGAGAAGCAAATAGTAGAAGAGTGGAGCACTGACAAAAGCTCTGATTTGACACTCAGGGCATACTGCTGCGCTCATGCAGGGCCTCAATGACTTTAATAAGTCTCCACAGAAGCAGAGCCTTTCCTTTGAACACTATCAGCTATGACACCAGGACCTAATTCAGTATTCAGCTCCACACCCCCATCATGTTGGCAATAATTCAGAGTTGGTGAGACAACATGTAAAGGAAAAAAAAAAAAGCAGCGTTTTAAACCTCTCTAATTTAATGTTAGCTTTTAATGTGTCTAACATCAAAGCATTTTTTCACTTCTATTTAATCAAAATTAATCACTAAGATTACTACAGTAATTTATGTTGGAGATTATTGAAATGAGTGTTTTATTAAAATCTGGTTTTATTAATAAAACACTTTCTGGCTAAGGAATCACGTGAGTCTGCTATTAGAGACTATTAACTGGGAACTGGGAGTTAATCATAACAGTCATGCTGCCAGGTCCTTTGACAGCAACACACACTGGGTTTGTTTCTGATTTTACTGTTACTAGCACATTCAAGTCAATTAGTTACATGAGCAGTCAGGGTAACTCCTGTAGAACAGGGAAAGGAAACAAAGGTACATACATCTCAAGAAGTTTCAAACAAAGAAAGGATAATCAGAAAGAGACTCACCAGCCTGATTAGTTGTGATGCTGACAGCAGCAAATTGTCTGGAAAGCATACTCAAGTCAGATACTCCGTTCACTGCATCAATCTCAAAAGTATAATTGGTATGTGCTAAAAGGTCCACTACTGTCACCGTGGTGTTGGTGAGTCCAGTCTGACGGGGTAAGAATCGCACGTTGTCACTACATGGCTCGCACATCTTGATGTTTCCCCCACATTTTTTGCAAATGATGTTGAAAGTGACATCTTTCCGACCTCCAGTGTCAAGAGGCCAGCTCCAATCCAGGATAACGGATGTCTCATTGATGTTAGAGATAACATTTCTTGGAGCAGATGGTGGTCCTATAAAAGGAAAGAGGAAATCAGAAGGATGAGATTTTCTGTAGTGCTCAAAGATGGGAGTAACAAGGGCACAAAAATACAAAAGTCAAAAACAAATAACCAAACTCTTCTTGTTATTTCCTGTAGAGACTTCAGAAATATTTCACTGGACTACAGACCTAGACTATCAAGGACCATGTTTTCTTATAGACAGACAGTACCCTCAGGGTGCAATTCAGGACTGAGGGCTAAAAATATTGGTAGCAATTTAAGAATCCCAGCTCTCATTCCGAGTTCTCCTTCTGACAGAGAACAAGAAGGAGAAAATGAAAATACAAAGACATAAACCAAATTTCTGGTAGCCTGTCCAACATGTAAGAAGACATGGGACGCAGTGGATGGCTGACTACAATGGGACATGAGAGGAAGCAAGCAAGCTGGTGAGATACAGATGGAGGAGCAAGGATGACAGCCCCGAGCATAATGATGCTACTCACTGGTGCAAGCCATGGATGGAGGGTCTTTCTCAGAGCGAAAGTAATTCTTTTCACACCTGCAGTTCAGAGATGCATCTTCGTAGGTAGAGCTGTGAGGTGGGCATTTGGCACACTTCACATTGCCAGCAGAGGCTTTGTAGAAACCAGGTCGACAAGCTGCAAAATAATAGGAGTATAGTTTGAAATTCCATGGACATCTCCTTGATTTTAACATGCTATTTTGTTATTGCCCTGGGACCTATACATATGTAATAACATTTTACAGACATTTATGGTCTAAAAACACAGATTTTTTTCACAATGACAAAACTGATGGAAATAAAACTTCTTGGAAGAATGGAGCTCTTCATGCATCAACTTGAATTTGCATTTAATTTTGCCTGGAAAACAAAACAGTGTATTGCACCACTAAGAAGAAACTTTTTTTATGTTGCATTTTAAGAACTTCATTTATTTTTCACCTCTTCTGGTTAATTTACCAAAACATTGGCCCTCGCCCACATAAGAAGCTAACTTTACCTCCGCTCTGCTGCCAATATTCGCGTGCAAGAGCACACTAATTTTAAAATATGTCTCTTCCGTTTAGCAGGACTAAGAAGGTCAAAATCAAGAAAATAACCTGAACAGTGAAAGATCTATTCCATTTCTGGAGGAAGGACCATGCATTGGCATGCGGCAGGCTTAGTGAGCTGCTTCTGATACTATCAGGAACTCGCACAGTCTATATGAGGAGGATGTGTTTTGCATCAGCCCAGTCTCCTAGGGATGGCGCTTGAACCCACAAAAGCTGCTTCTGAAAAACTGTGCGTGGTGGTGTTTCACTACCACTGGCACACTCCCTCTGTTTTGACTCCTGTTGCATTTTAGACTGATTCACGGCCACGTTGGTATCAGAAGAAAACAGCCTTTGAAGTAAGTCACAGAAACGAACAATTCAGCAAATAACTTTTTATGAGAAACCCGTGCAGTGAACTAACACTGTTGACTTCTTTACACCAAGAGGATATCACCATCTGAAAATAACAATAAAAAGACCAAAGCCAGATAAGAATCAGCAGACTCTACTGTTCAGCTGCTGCTTGCCCCCAAGACACACATTCTTCTCCAAATGGAATTTACCAAGTAAAAACATTCTGGGTGATACTGGTCACCCACAGGTCTGTACTCATACCTACACCATATGCATACAGACAATGTAACAAAAAGGACCACATCTTAAAATGCATTCATCTTTTGTTACACTTTGGTTCCACAGCAAACACTGCCTAACACACAAGTGCTAGGAAAATCCTGATACATTCTCAATACAAATATAATGTAAAAAAACAAAAAAAAACCCAAAAAACCCCAACAACAACAAATAAGAAAAAAGAAAAAGAAAAAAACCCTAATAGAAAGAAAAACATGACTTCTTTTTGTCTCTGGAGCCCTGACAGTTAAGCTTAAATAAAATCGCCCAGGACCTATCACTGAATCAGATGTTAATTTGAAGCCAAAATAATGGGTTCACCAGTCTTAGTGTAAGCCTAAACAGAGACACAATTCTCAGTTTTGCTTATAGAGATGAACTGATTCATAGATGAAGTAGAAAATCCAAGATACAAGACTATGTCTTTCATGTTCATTCATGCACTGCCTAAACAGAGAAGTGTTTGGATGGGCAGTCTGAGGTCAAATGAAGAATAAAAAACCCAGCATCTTTGCTGGAGGAGAGAGCTGTAGCATTAAGGTGGATATTCAGCTTCCACATCACCATCTATAACCAAAACCTAACTGAATATCTGGGTTAGGCAAATTTGTTGATTAGCTCCTGGTGCAAACATCTGAGTGAAACGCACTGGGAAGCAGAGAGAGAACAAACGCCCTGTGCAGTTCTATGTCCTACTCTGAGATGTCTTACTAAAGGAAACATTCCTCACACTGCATTGCACATGGTGTGAGAAGCACAAAACATTTCACCAAGAAGCGCTAATCTCAGCCTCTCTTCAGCACTTCACAGCCCCTGTAAACCAAGGCACTTGGCTGCAGCTGCTACCTCTGACTTCCATGTTAGCAAAGCAGCTGGAAAAGACACCTCCCACTCCAAGTTCTCTCCTGCAAGCCCTGAGGAAACAACCTCGAGTTTAGACCTCTGAGGTGTGGGCCCAATAGGCAATCTGTGAAAGCAGAATTGCTAAAAATGACTTTGTGGTGAAGTTCACAGAGGCTATTGCCACCCAATCTGATCTGGCACAGTCTGTCCTCCTTTAGCTGGCGTTACTTATGTTTCCTTCTTCTAGAAGACTGCAGGGGTGTTTGGGGATTTCTGTTTAACTTGAGGAAATAAAGGAAACCTAAGTCCCTCTTAAACACCTTCACTAGGAGAAAATGCAGCAGGAAACACTTGACTTGTTTGGCTTTATTGTTGTTACTGTAGCAGCCTTTTAAGATTCAAATCTCATTCCCTCTCAAATACTGTCCCATCATACAAGTGCTGTACATAGAGCAAGCCTCTTGGCTCTCCCTCTGCCTGACAGAGGAGCTTCAAAAGATTTTACCATCTCTGGACACAGCCCAAGCATTCCTGGCCCTAAGACAACAAGCCAGGTTGAAAAGAATGGATGCCAATCCCGCTTTTACCAGGACTAGTAACAAAACAAACACATTAAGGAATAAACACCACACTACATCTGTCCAGCTAATTACACAGCACTTTCACCAAAACTTCCCATGGAAACTCACTGTCATTTATTAAACTCAGATGGTTTCACTTAACCATATCTACTCAGCTTGAAGGGACATTTTTACACCTATGGGCAGGCATGCTCAAGACAAAGATGTAATTTTCAGTATATACTTTTTTAAATTTAAAAAATAATTTTATATGCTAGTTTCATGTAAAGACTGGAAAAAGACTAATAACCTAAAACTGAACCTTTGTCATGTGGCTGGTCTTCCTACGAGACACAATTTCCACTGCTTATTAAGCACAATTTATTCATAGCATTGTAATAAATGAGCATTCATTTACAGAATGGAAGTACAGTAAGACTATTTATCTGGGACACTTTCAAAGCATCTACCACCAACGTTTTAATATGGCAATGAATTTAACATAAGTAAACAAGCTTGCCTAAGAAGTGGACAGATTTTGTGGGAAGAGGAAGAGAAATGAAAGCATCAAACAGCTCCATTAATAAATGTCTCTTTCATCCCTCAAGTGAAAACTTGTAGACTTTATTTAAGAAAAGATTGTGTTGTGGGGACAGAGAAAAAAGGAAGAAGAAAGAGAAGCATGCAGGAAGCACCCTGGTAACTCAATATCAGGCTTTTTCTTTTCCAGAGGGACAGGGATTTAATAATTTCATGCTTCCTCTATCACGGTACAGAACGAGCAGTCGAGACGGGGGGGATGAGCTGGTTGGATTCCTGCCGCCCCAATATGTCCTAGTGAGGGCATCACAATCTTGTGTCTTCACCTTAGGCTCTCTTGCATTTTCTGTCTTTGTCTGTCAGACCAATTTAAGATTATTCACAACTGCAGCCCAAAGGAGGAAAAAAATGCAATTATACTTGACATTGAAGCTTGGAAAGAAGGGTGCCAACAGAAAATGTTGCCAATGTTGTTACCATTGTTCTTTTTTCTAGTCATTTTTTGATTCTGATATATTAGCAAAAAAAAAAAAATCAAGCCTTTACTTCAAAAGGCATTTTTTTAATGTCAGAAAAATTGGATTACATGGACTGATGGAAGAAGGTTTGGCTTCTTGAGGTGAATACCATGGCTCTGGTTTCAGTCAGGTAGAAAATAAAAGGACTGGCATAGGAAGTCTTCACAGAATCTGTAATTTCAGCATGGGAACCAGCTGTGAACAGCAGTGGCTTTTTCTTAACATTTTCTTCTAGAAGCTAAGAAGTTTTCCTTTCCCTCACAAGAGAGAATGCTGAGAGAGGAAGTAGATGCAATGGGTTGGGAAGAAAAACCTCTTGCCACACTAAAAGTGAGCAAAGAAAACCTTGAGAGTCTCTACATACATGATAGAAACTGCACAGTAAGGCTGTCTGGTTTTGCTTTTTCAGAAGGCCTTTTCAAGTCAGATGTCCAACACCCTTTGGTCCCTGTGACTCCTGTGGTAACTCCAAATGGCAATATTATTTTAAAACTGTATGCAGTCTGATATCAATCTCTTTTATTTGAGTGTGAGCCACACTGACTTTATTGAAGTCACCTACTGGTAAGAATTTCAGGACTGCAGTTGTCCTTGTTACTGCATGAAAATAAATTTCCTTGCACTAGAACTGATGAGTCTGCCTCAGAGACAGAGAACAGGGAAAGTTATTTCAGTGAAAGAAAAACAAATGCATGTGGCAATCTGTGGTAGTTATTGCTTACAGAAATGGGGCTGTCTTTTCAACAGCAAAGTGAATTATGCCTCTGTTTAACTAATCTGTTTGAGATGAAAACATGGTCTTAATTAAGGGTTAAACATTTCATTTAAATTTGAGTTAATTTTAAATTAAAATATAAAGCCGTTAATAAATAGGAGCATTTTAGTATTCAGACCCTGCAGCCCCCTATACACAGAGCAGTATCACCAATTTCCAGCTGCAAATATCAACTAACGACCTGAGCCCACGCTGCCTGAAAGGCAGGTACTCCCTGGTACTCCAGGCCTGACAGGGCCCATTTCCCTGCACAAAGTCAAAGCAACTCTTTATTTGCAAAATGAGCCCCGCTCCCTTGTCCTACAGGAACTCTGCTTTTTGTGCTCTGAATAGAAGTGCAATGCATGGAGGCAAGGCTCAAGCATCCCAATGCACTGGAAGCGGATATGCGCAGCCATGAAAGCACTCGTTTTACGTGCAGCATCCACCAAGCAATCAAGTGTTTCCTTCCTTTGTTCCTCTGCTCTTCAGTAAAGTAGCCCAGGGGCTAAATGCCACTGTGACATTAAACCACAGCTTTTAGAAAAGAAGGGTATTCCGTCATAAACCTGTGCAGCTCACGGATACTTAACAGTTCCTCACAGCATGCTTTAGCAAGATGGATGACAGCAACCCTGGGACAAGCCTCCTGTCCCTGTCCCCTGCAGAAAGGACAGGGATGCATCTCCCAGATGTGTGGTCCATGTTAGAGGAGCTTTCCGTTGTCACCTGTGGAAATGGCATGCCAATGA